TATTCCACACCTTAATAATGATTTTTTTTGGAGTAAGTAATGCATTGATATCTGATCTATTTGTGCCTCCCTAACATTTTATGCCATATAATAAAATCGAATTTCACAACATCATGTATATTTGCCTTATGACTGATTCATCAAGAAATCGAATTTTGTAAAATAATACAGTTAAAGTCCTCATTGTATTTTTAATGTTCTGTACGTTTTCTATCCACTTCAAGTTGAAATCAATTGTCACTCCTAAATATTTAAATGATAACACCATTTTAATAGGTTTACAATTTTAGTTTGATATATTATTGTCACATTTATGTATTATAAAGTTGTAACCATTTGGAAGTTGTGACTTTATGCATGCAAACTAACTTAAATATATTAAGAGATAAGAGATTTTTTTTTTTCCATCCAATCATAGATTTACCGTAGAAGATGATCTACGGTTTGTTTTAATTCCCCTCAGTTATCTTTAGAGTTTACTAAAGTTATATCATCAATAAACATAAATAATTTTCCTTTTAATAAACATGCAGGTATAGAATTAATATATATTAAAAACAATATGTGGCCTAATGAAGTGCCTTGAATGACTCTGTAATGTTTGACTTCATGATAACCACCAAATGAGTTCCAATTGTAATTAACTGTTTGTTGCTTAGATAGCTAGTAAACCGTTTAAATGTATTATCGTTGAAACATAGCTCCTTCAATTTATTTAGTAACAAATGCCTACTGATAGAATCAAATACTTTTTCCAAATCCAAGAAAGTAATTAGACATTTTTTTGAGTCTTGCTTTTTCTATGTAAGAAGTTAGTTATGTCCATTAAAGCGTTCTCTGTTCCTATATTTTTCTGAACCCATATTGTCCCTCAAATATTATTTTATCTCTCTCCAAGTATTCTATTGGTTGGTTTTTAATTATATTTTCGAGTATTTTAGATAAGATTTCTACTATTTAAATGGGTCTGTAGTTAGTAACATCCCTTTTATCTCCTTTTTTAAGAATCTGTACAATTCTAGCCACTTTCATTTCGTTTGTTACTATACCATTTGTTATACTACAGTTTATCATACATAATAGATATCACACTGTCTCCCATTTGTTTAAGGAATAGTGCTGTATAGCCATCAGCTTCTGGTGCCGAATTATTATTCAGATTATTTATTATATTTATAACTCTGTAATTACCAATAGTATTGATCTTGAAGTTGAAGCTTGCGTTAGTTGAATTATTAATACTTATTCGAACTTTAAGTAGTATGTTATTTATATTTTTAGGAAAATTGTTGTCCACTAGTCTATTTCCTATTGTTGCAAAATAAGAGTTTATTATATTTAGATAGTCTTTTGGAGTTGAAGTAAGATACTTGTCCTCTATTATTTCATAGATAACTAGAGCTCTACAGAGTTAGTTTTCCTCCCCGATAGCTCTTTAACCACTTGCCAAATTTCCTGTCCATTACATTTACAAAATTCTATTTTATTTATGTAATATAGTTCTTTTGTCTTTCTAGTAAGTAATGTTAATTTATTCATACACACTCTATAATAATTTAACAATTTATCATTGGATGTAGTAAAAAACTACCCATTAGTAGTAAAAAAGAGTAATCTGTAGACACCCTGTAAAATTATAGAAATGATAAAAGACTGTCCTAGATCATATAAGATAAAGTTACAGAGTGGTATAGTGATCAGACGAACGCCTAATCATTTGCGTCACACAACTAGTCAAAAGTTTAATGAATACTATGGAGATAATGATAATATTCCGCTTTGACAATATAATAACAAAAATTTAGTGTGAAAAAGAGAAGTTGATGAGAAGAATTGTGATGCTGATGAGACACTAAAAAGGACAAGGGTAGGAAGAGTTATTAGAAAACCTATCAAATTAGGTGATTATGATTTAAATTAAAAGTGCTTTGTTTGTTTTAAATGATAAATTAATTTATTGTTGTTATTCCTTTGTGTAAGATATTAGTCTATATTTTTCGCAAATTTAGTATTATTATTTGATTATTCGTTACATACGTAATGTTATTAAAATTATTCTTGTAATTGAACGTAATGTAATTAAATTAAATTTTTAATGTTTTTCTTTTTTTGTTATATAATATGTTAGAACTGTTAAAATGTTGATTTTAAGAGCTAAAAGAGGGGGATTTTATTAAATACCATATAGGGTAACACTGCTCCGTGATATAACCTAAAAGTTGGTCTTACATTGATATACGTCTTAGTTGTTACCTGACACGTACGTGTGTGTACAGCGTATAGTTGCAGAATCAATTATAACACCTTATTAAATCTTTAATAAATTAATATAATAAACAAAATATTTTTAAATTAACATAGTGTGGTTATTTTACAAATAGTATTTATAAAATAAGAGTTGGTAAGAACGTATTACAACATTTGTAACCTCGGTGAAATTTGGCGTGAAACTGTTTTGGTGAAAACGTATATGTTTAAATGAGTTATTTGATTTATTCATTTACACACATAAATTATAACAGAACCATCGGTTTTTCGCGATACATACTGTGACGTTGATCGTTTCTTTTATGCCGGTTATTGAGTTTACCGTCGTTTATCACTCGTTGTCTCCAGCGACTGCCACAGCTAATTTAAGAGGTTGGTATATTCCCTAACATTGTTAGTTTAGTATAGTGTACATTTTACAATTAATGTAAGGAACATTACAAATAACGTGAACTAGTCTATCCCCAGACTGCCGTAGCGTGTACTGTGCGATTGCATTAGTAAATGTAGACAAACGTTTAACTATAACTGTAACTGTTTATTCAATAGTTTTACGACAAACACCCAAATAGTACCTTATACATTTCTAAATCTACAACAGCGGCTACAGTTGGGCTACAGTTATCTTGTGTGACTTAGATTCAACGCCGTGTAGAGGGTAGGTGGGTATAATATTTATGTTTATTGCCACGCATACAAAAACTTATTTCAGCGATAAGGTTCTCTCTTAATTTCGTCGCTCACGGCAGTTGTCGTTTTAAATGTGAATTTTATATTCATCACGTCGAAATCAATTGAATCTACACAAGATAACAAGATGTCTTAGCGACAGAAAAACAAATGTCCCAATAACTAAGATTAGTAAAACATTAAATAATGGAAACATCAAAATCATACTTGACAACGCAGAAATCCAACAAGGTAAAGGGTTTTTATGCCTCGTTAGCACTATAACTCACAACAACAAATCAACCGTGGATATCACAAGAAAAATAGCATTAGTGAAACAAGTGAATTCGAAGAAACAGTCAACTTCTGACAAAATCAACATCTTAGCATGGATATTCGCCAAAAAAATTATTAAATCGTTCGTTTGGAATATAAGTACTTACTTACGGAAGCGAAACCTGGATGATAGAAAAAAGGAAGAAGAAGAGGCTAGAGGCGGCTGAAATGTGGATATGGAGAAGAATGACTAAGACAAGATGGATAGAGGGGAAGAATAACGGGAGTCTTGGGAGGAATTCAAGAAAGAAGGCAATTTATGGAATTGATAACAGCAAGAAAAATCGAGTTAATAGGTCACATCGTCCGATACAAAGACTTCATTTACAGCATATTTTAAGAGAAAATGCAAGGAAAGAAAACTAGAGGAAGACCGAGAAAAAGGTATTTTTAAGTATTACGATATATAATGAACTGCCGAACTTTCCATAAAATAAAAGCGCGGTTGCAAAGAATAGAGAGGAGTCGCTTCACCGACAATTCTCGGCTTGGACATGATTATATCCGGCCGATGCAACAATATTTTCATATATACATAAACAATATTTTCTACCAGAAATTTTGCTCAGATTTACGGTTATATCACTATTTCTAAAAGGAGATCTGAGTGGGAAGGTACCGGCGTTGGGCAAAATTTGACCTAGATAATTATTCGAATAATGGTCGTTTATTTTATTTGGTTAAACATATTGGTTGATAATTTATAATACCTTCGTAAATATTAATAGTTGGCCTTGTAATATAAAATATATCCTCTTTGGCTCCAACAATATTTTTATGTAGAGCTCAATATTGTGAAAATTATTCGAATAACCATGAAAAATTCATCCGAATAATACGAGTAATTTAATCGAATACTGTTTTATTTAAAAGAAATCATCAAAATAAAATTGTATTTAAATAATGCTCAACTCTGGAACGTATACTTTATACTATTTTTCCAACCGTTTTCATAATAAATGTGAAAAAACACGGGAATAAACCGGGGAAAATGGGTATAATATTAAACAAATATTAGGTATTAAAGAAAATACAAAATATGCATATGTAATTATTATTACCGTAATACGACGCGTATAATATTAACGGCACTCCGCTCAGAAACGTTTTTCGTCAGCAATGGTTAATCGTTTCGTACAGATGTAAATCAAATTTCCCCTCTACCTTCCCGATCATCTAGGTACAACGGTGGCCCCGCCGACGTTCAGAGTATGTCCGTCTTTTCATACGCGGGTTTCGTTGAAATTTGAACGTTTTCCCCGCATACAAGAATCGATCGTGATAAAATAACCACCCCCCACCCCCTCATCCCGGACAAATCGAACCGAAAACAACGCTGTAGCGAAATCTGCAGTTGGTTTTCGAACGGAACGAGTAGACAGACGGCAATTGGTTCGCCCCCCGGCGAAAAATCAATAAGCAAAACCATTCGTCCGGTGTAAACGAACTTTTACGGCGATTATCGGAATTCAATATCCGAATTTTCAGCCCGCCGGGAATGGGTAGTACGTCTAAAAATAATAATAGTCGAAATTTTTAGATTACGCGAAACTATGTTTTTTTTTCCCACCGTTCAACCGCGGCCCCGTACGATAATAATAATAACAACAATAAATGTTTATCGTTGTAACGAAACATGGCGAGCGCCCGTGGCAGCCATCGTATCGGGCGGTGCCGGCGCAAAGTGCAAAACGGAACTCGCGCGCGTCTTGAACGGCGTCTTCCGCGGACGGACGGACGTACGTACGTAAACGGCGATTATTTTAGAAAATAGGACGGCGGCGCGAACGGTGCCAACTGCACAATTCGAAAGCCGGTCTGTATTTCGGAACTACCAAACGCGCGAGACGCCGCCCGAATACTTTCACCATTTTTTTTTTTTTTCCCCCGGCCGCCGCCGCCGCCGCTCTTTCTCCTGGGAAAACTACCGTACCTACCGAATGGAGACGATCGCACCATCGTTGTGTAACGCGCAAGTCGGCGAGGTAGATTTTACACACGAAATCGCGTTTTTAACAAGAAAGAAATAAAATTAAAAAAAAAAAAAAAAAAATCCCAAACAACAATATTAATTTAATGATAATATTATTTTTAGCAGAGTTTATAAAGTTTATAAATATACACGTGAAGGGGAGAGAGATAGAGAGAGAGAGAGAGAGAGAAAAAAAAAAAAAAACAACAACTACTACATGTACACAAAATGCTTATAAATATGTATACACACAATATAATATATTTACATATTATAATAATATTATATATATATATAATTGACGCCACGGCGCGTTTACCTGTAGCGAATATTAGTAATATTGCAGAGTCGATATTTATATCACATGACGGTTCGATTAATTATACATTATATATAATATATAAATATAATATATACATACGAGTATACACCTACATATTACATTTATTGATCAATCGGGTCAAAAATTATATTAATATATTATAATCGAAGAGTTTTTATTTTACACTTAAGAATTAAAAATTATTAGTAAAATATGCAACATAATACAAAACGTTTGTAAATAGAAATATCAAATGAGTGGGTACTAGGGTAGTAGTGGGTATCTCATCTCATTCAAGCCAAGTAACTATACGAATCCTTTTGTCCCTCGGTGCGCTCTAGATATTCTTTTTCGATCAGAATGTCTATACACTTTTTGATCACGGTGACCTTGGGCTTGAATCTCGATGACAACTGCGCTAGGACCTCCATCGTCAATTGCTGGTGTTTCATCACTTTGCGCATTTTCATTATTCTCACAATAGCGGCCTGGATCAACATTTTCCTGTCCTCTTCAATGTGCTTATGTGTACTTTCTTGTTCCAACTTTATTTCCTGTTTCATCGGCACATTGATATTTACACGTAACTTCTTGTTTTTGTAGCTCTGGAAAAGGCTAACGACTGAATTACCCGATAGAGACCCCTCTTCGTCAACACAAGTTAATAGTTTAGCTTTCACTAGTATTTGCAAAACCTGTATCAAATAGTCTGGCTTCAACTGTGTCGATTCTGAAAGTTGAGTGACTGTCCACGACTCTTGGAGATTGTATTGCAACAAAACGGCCATTTGGAAAGTTGAAGCTTGTAACGTATACCGATTCTTGAAACAATTAGTGACCAGTTCACCTTTGGACATGTTAAACAACCAATTGAGTTTACGGCCTGAATGCTGAGCACTATAAAACTGAGTGAATCTCTGAACGGAACGTTCTAATTCGGACGGCAGTGAAAATGTGAGGAGGTATTGGAACGGCCACGAACCAGACGATAGAACTTGTATGCTAAAGTCTATATCATGAGGCATATTTGAGTTGGACACGTGTTTCCTAAAAGCCTCGTTTAAGTCTTTGGACACCCCGATATCTTGGAACATTCGTTGAAGTTTTGAAGTGTATTCAAATCCGCACGCTTGTTTAAGTTTCGATATCATTGACGCTTCGGCGTCATCACTGGCAGACATATGTTGGACGAGTCTTTTGGCAAGCATTTTGCTATAGAACTTTTGGAATACATCTTTGTCCTCGATGTATTTGAACATTATCATTACCTGTATTAAATTAAATCAAAACAAATTAATATTTAATAACAATATTAGCGTTATTAGAGCAGGCATCACTAATTTAAAGACAAATTAACAAAAAATTGTATTTAGATGATTAATACTTAGTTCTTTATTTAGTGCATTAGTATATAAAATGATAATGATGATAATAAAACCAATAATATTCCAGGTCAGTGGTCCAATTGAAGTTTATTTTATTTTTCGGGAAAGGCTTCACTTGACCACTGGTGAGAGAGATGAATTTCAAACAAATTTCTGTACACATTTTTGATTTAATAAATAGGTACAGACATATTCAAAATTACAGGAAATTTCTGAAATTTCAATATAAATTAAAAGCAACTGTGTATTACATAAAATTTGTAAAAAAAAAAAAAATCAACTTTTTTTTTGAAATGGGGCTGTCCTGGTTAACCACTACTACGGATTAAAGCTACTGTTTCAGGCTATTTTTGAACATTGGTATTTATCTAACTTATATTGGCAGTTATATTATTATTATTATTTGAAGTAAATAAATTTCAAATAATGTCAATTAATATACCTATCTATACATTTTATATTTAATTTAATACGAGTACCTACCTACCCAATATAATTACAAAATGTTTTTTTATTTTTTTAACCACTCACTTGGTTTAAGGTATCTTCCAATTCAGCTTCTTCGGGGTTCTTACTGGATTTTTTCAACAACAAATCACAAAATTTGGCCAACATTTCTGGACTTTTAGAACTCGAATTGTACTGTCTCGTAACTAAATTATTGTTAATGAATCCTCCACAAGCTTTATCCAGAGCGGCTACGAATCCTGAGTCATTATTAAATGACACCGCCACAAGGGCGTTGTATTTCTTATGTACATCTAAAATAACACTGACATAGACTTTGGGATCGTTGAAAGCCGCTTCGCCGCATTTTTCAATAGCGGTTTGACCCTGCGCCAATATGTGACATTCAAGGATATTTTTCAATTCACCTAGACCGTCTTGTATACGCGAGACTAAATGATACATTCTACCGAGATCATCGTTCTTTTCACAATTTAATAGATTTTGAAATTCTGCATGGAATATTTCCATGTGTTTTCGAATCAACACTACTTCGCAAGTGTCTCCCAGCCCGATCATTGTAGTTTCATGTAGGTAATCTCGTACTCTTTTTTGTTCTTCTTGCAGACGTTGTTCCGCCTTTTTCATGTACTCTGTTACTGTATTATTGGCCAAAAATTGATCACTTTCTTTGATATAGAAACATTTAGTTTCTTCTAAGAATGTTTTTTCAAACGATTCTTTATAAATGGTCAAACTCTGACCTTTTAAGGATGGCTCTTCTTCGTTTAAGCCAAGCTCAACGTAACAGTTTATTACACCGCTGACAAGACGTGTATTGATCGACTCGCCATTACGTTCGCGTTCGATCAGTTTTAATACAGCGTTGGTGACCCGTTTATGTAATTGCATGAATAAACAGTCTCTCCAAGCCACTAACGCCAGTTGATATATTTCATAAATACCTTTTCGGCCCTCCTCGCATTCTCTACGCACCCAGTGTCTATTTAAATACGAACAAACTCCGTTCAACACTTTTGAACTAAACCGATAGTCTTCCCATTCGCGGGTATAAAAAGCGAGTACGTCTTCGTCCATGAAATTTGAACCACGGCTAATCAAATCCACTAGGTAGTACCGCAAGAAGTCTTTGATCCTGCGGTACAACTCGAGACCCACCAACTGGGCACCACCGATCTGTGCCGTCGAGTTGGAAAGTGTTTTTTTGGAACGACAATTAGCTACGGCAGTGTTTTTATTGGGATTTAAGTGCACGCTGGTACAATAGTTGTATACGTGAGTGTAGAGCTCCATGTATCGAGGCTTGGGCATTGATTGACGGTTGTAGACGTGCTCGATTCCGTTCTTCAGGTCTCCCCATATGGTGTCGAGATCATAGATTTGTTTCGACGACATACCGTCGCGGCGGTTGGACATGATAAATCTTTACCACAGATCCTTATATTTTATCTAAATTGCGTTGTCCAATAAATTTGTTAAAAATATGTACAATTGCAATTCTACGGAAATGATAATATAATGAACTCGTTTAAACGTGAAACATAGTAAGAAGTAAACACAAAGAAACAAATACTGCTAGGCGCACCAAAAAAAAAAAGAACAACCTTCTCGCAGGTGACGCATCGAAACGGACACAGATAGTTGCAGGAAATTGATAACACTATAGGTACAATAATTTCTGCCCTATGAACGCAGCCAACTTAAACAAAAGAAAAACCGGGATTGTACAATAATTCGGTGTTTGTTTTGCTGTATTATTTTTAAACAAACGCGGCAATTTCATACAATAGTTATTTTTTTTTCAACGTATTTAACTAGATGTACACAAATGTGTATTGTTTAAGATTTACACAAACGGGATAACATAAAATTTAAATGGAAATTACATTATCACCAGCCACAACAATTTTGCTTACTATAAGAATTACGGACATTACGGATAATATTTTGAATTGAAAAGACCTCTTGGTGGTGGTGATACTGGTATAGTAATTTACAAGGAACTTGTATAAACTAACTTAATTGCTGTCAAAGACCTTCTAGAATCGGGTCTATTTTATTCAAAATCTAAAGGAAAATAATCAATTATTATAGACTGCAGTTTTATTGATTCGTACAGGATTGTGACGTGTACGTAAAAATTTAAAATAATCCATTACACTCGATGTAACGATATTAAAACACTGAAAATAGATTCTCCAGCACAAAGACTTGAACACAGGAATACCTTAGTGTTCATATAGAGAGTAGAGGGTTTTTTATCGATAACAAATAGTAAAGATACCATGGGAAATAGGTTAAGAGGGAAATTTAATACTAATGATATCACCGTTTTTTAATGTCTAAAACAAAAACATAAATAAGTGATAACAGTGAATTTACCGTTGTGTGCCTGCTTAATTGCTGGTTTAAACTTTAAATGCAAAAGACAATTCGATAATTTCAATAAGTTACGACTAGAATTTTTTTATAATTTGTTATTTGAAATGTTGACGAGACGTTGAAATGAAAGAGTTGTTGTATTCGAAATTAAAAAATGTTTATGTTAAAGACGCAAGCCACAACGAAAAAATTCCTTTGGACATTATCATTAATGTCGAACAAACTTATCATAACAATGAAAAAGTAAGACTTTTACATGGGTACTTTATGCTGTAATGCTAATTAAATTCGCAAAAGTTCTAAACAATAATAATAATATCGCTTTATAGACTAATAGTAACTGAATGAAACGATTAATTTACAACAATAAAGAAAACGAAAATTTCTCTTGCTTTTAATAATACTGGCATATAGAAAATTGTAATAAACCCCTTTCTCTGCAGTGTACGAGTTGGATTTCCAGAAATGATGATAGAACCTTAAATGGATATTAGTGAGTTCGAGTGGTTGGTCTCGTGGAAATGTAAATGTTTATACAGGATTCTGGCAGTTTCTTCCATAGTATTTATTTTGAAATTAGAAGATTTGAATTGTATTCATATTTTTTGGCTGCACCGTATGTCCAAATACACATCAAAAAATGTATAGAGGAGTAATTTTATTTTTCTATCTAGTAGTTTTCTATTAGTATCTAGTAAGCAAGTAATAAACAGATTTCCACCTAAAGTTGTTTAGAAGGACTTGTTTGATTTTTATATGATGTGTCTAGGTCAGGCGTTGGACTTGTATTAAGCTTACATATTTAGCGTTTGAAGATTTTGATATAATTTTACTATTTAAAGTGACTGGTGGTACCAATCCTTGTTTTAATGTGAAAGTCAAAATGTGAGGATTTCTTGTGACATATCACTGAATATTGAGTATTATTACTCTAATTTTATATTTTAAAAAAAATTGGGAGTAACTCTTATATTTGTAATAAATAAGGTTCTGGGGACTTATTGCTCTTAAAAACGTCAAAAAACCTTACCAAATACAATTTTCTATATATTTTCTAATAATAATTTGTGTTGTATTAGAAAATTATATTTAATAATTTAGAGTCATTAGAGAGGGGACATTTAAACCCTTCTACTATTCGGTTTAATAGTATTTGCTTTAAGTGCTATTTTTCAAGATGTTTTTCACCTTTTTTAAGTCTTTTGTGAATTTTAAGTGAAATAAGTCCCGAACCCTAGTAGTAAATAAATAAATATTTATATTACCTTTTTCTAGGCATGGTTAAAAGTTATATTTTAATTTAAATGAATGGTGTACAAAAACGAAAAATAAAATAGTAAGCTTGTCTAATTTAGTTCAAATAAAAATAATTAATCAACAGATATAACAGTATATATTATAATGTTAACAGATTGTATACTTTCCGCTTTCCAGTGATAATACTGATAAATTAAAATATTAATTATTATTTATTTCAGACTATATTAATATCTGCTTCCGATGAAAATGATCCATTATTCTACATCACATCAAATATTACTGAAGAAAGTTTCCGAACTATCAAAGAATCCCAAGACTTGGTTGTCAGCTTTGACAATTTTCCAAATCAAATTATACAACTATTAAATAATTCAGACACAATCTGCGACGATGGTCCTAAGTGAGAAATTGATCTTAAATTACTTTATATTGCCAAATTTAATAGAGCATTTTATACTTGTACTTGCATAATATTATTGCATATTTATTAGCTTTAGCCAGCAAAAATCTTCCTTCAAATTATTGGTTGGCTTTATCTGGCATTAGATCTATTTTGTTAAATATATGTGAAAACCGTAACTCAAAAGTTTTTTATATTAATTTCTACTAAATATTTGTGTATAATTTTATTCAAGTGTGATTGCTATCACAAATTAACAACGACCAATATGTATTCTGTATTAATTAAACACTCCATTTGTTACTTTTTAGATTTAAACTACTAATTCAAGACGAAAACATGGGCAATAAAATGTACAAAGGTGTCAAATACATTTTGAAAATAATTGAATTAAATGAATTTAAAAATCTCTGTCATTTAGCTATTGAAATGTCTAAAGCATCCGATGTTGATGTAGCAAAAAACATATGCAAAAAAATGACAGGAATCAAAGTAAATTAAATTGTTTAGGTAATAAGTATTTATGATTAAATAATAAGTGTATTATTATTTTAGAAAGAAATTGAATGTAAAGATAAAGAAACTGAACAATTAAAACGAGAACTCTTAAAACTGCACAATGAAGTTGCGCGAAATAAAAATGAACTGGAAAAATTTCAATCATCTGTAAACCATGAAAAAATTAGTCTTACTGCTAAACAAGAACAAATCATTGACCATTGGAAAGAAAAATATGAAAAAGTAATTTTATAATTTTTGTATTATTATTAAGTTATAACCATTTAAAAATTTGATAAAGATACATCTTAACAACTATTTTATTTTTACGTATGTATTGGGTTTGTTAAATGGTTAAATTTTAATTTCAAAAAAAATTATAGAAAATTGTTTTGAAGGTTTATACCTGTTTACACAAATACATTAACGGTATATTACCAAATGATATTTTTAAATAATAATTGTATACTTTGTATATACATTTATTTTTGTTTCTACTTGATTTGATTTTTAATGTTTGATGTTCATTCAATATAGTTAGATGATGAACGAATGAAACAACTGCGCGAAATGCATGCAGAAATGATTGCTCAACAAGAAAGACTAAGTGCATCTTTACAAACGACCATAAAATCACAAAATAAAGAAATACAAAGCCTCTTAACACAATCAGAAAATAAATCTGAACAAATTAGGTATATTTGTGTTTACAAACTGGTTTAGATGTCAATGATTTATCTGTAAAAATGTTGATTTAGTGAAATGTCAATTCGTATGAAAAATTTGGAATCCAAGAATAAATCTTTGACTGAAGATATCGCAACGTTGATGAATAAAAACGAAAACCTCGTATCAGATAGAGACATTAAAAAAAAGATAATCGAAAGAATGCAAAATCACATTTCATCACTAGAAAATGTTTGTTATATTATTCTAATGTTAATTTGATCTAATCTTGAACCATTTTTTAGGAAATAAAACAAAACACACAATTGCTTCAAAAACAAAATAATTATTACGAGTCATCTAATAAGTTCCAAGTATGTATACATTTTGTATGTATTTTGTGTTTTATTAAATTGTTCACTACTGGTTATTAAAACCAGTTTTGCAATAACTGCTCCTCTGTTAATAATGTCAACAGCCAATAAAAAATAATAGTTATTTATACCTAGACCACACTATCATTTATTATATTTAAATCTTTCATATAATTTTCATTAATTTTTTAAAACCTATAATTTTCTATAGTGTATATATTTTATATAATATTATAAAAATCTCTTGTACATTTTCTTAAATATCTGTACAATTCTTCCATTATAATACTGTTTTAAGCAGAATGCTGTATAATTATATAAATTAATTAATGTATTGATATTAAATACTTATAACACTTGAGTATAAATTTAGTATTAATACATAACTTGAGATGATCAATTATTCAATATAACTGGATGTATATATTGACTATTCTTTAAAAATAAACTTTGAAACTTTGATCAGTTCATAACTTATAATAATTAGTGTGCAATTAGAACTTCAAAGTTTTGAATGTTAAAATGTATTATTTATAAAACGATAAATTATAAATTAATATATAAATGTGCTCTCAATCAATTTTTCAGGAACAATTGGCAATTGCTTTGAAAGAAAATGAAGAACTAAAAAAACGTAGTGAATCAAATTTCAAATCAATTTGTGATGAATTGAAACAAGCGAATAAAATAATTAAAAAATTACATGATTCCAACCAGGAACAAACAGAAAAGGTTTATTAAATTTGTTTGCATTCTAGTGTACTTATTTGTAAAAATAACCCGACGTTTACAGCTTATGTTGAGCAAAGATATTGCGTTGAAACAAAAAGAAGAAATTCATAGATATCAAAATGAAAACATGCAGTTGTCTAAAGCACTCAATGAAAAAACATCTAATGTTGAAAGTTTGAATATTCAATTTCTAGAAACTAAAAATCGGCTTACAGCTGTGGAACATAGTTTAAAAGAAAAAGAAGACCGTTTGGCGAGTAACGACAAAGGTAATTCTGTTTTTAAAATTGATAGTCGAAAAATCATAATAATCTATATAAACATATTTATTATCTATCAGTGATCCATTGGTTGAACAGCAAGTTGAACAATTGTGAGATTACAGCAAAATCGTCTAGTAATTTTGGTGTGTTATCAGAAACAACTAATGTGACTAAAAATACAAATGCCTATAAAAACATAGGGAAATTTTCCACGTCAACTCCGGCTAGTGCTGAAACAGTATGAGTTATTATAATTTTTGTGGTGAAAATAAAATTTAAACTTTTATGTTATGTTTTTAGGACAACATAAAGCCTAAATCTAATGAGCAAAAATTGAATGGGAAAACTTTAAGTTCAAACATCAGGTAATAATTATCTTAACAATATTAATTTAACTCCATTTTTATTTTATTATTTTGCTAATTGTCGAGTTAATCTCATAAGTTGGACTACATACCTGAACTAATGATGTAATTATTAACAGGTGAGCTGCATTTGCATGCAACTAAATTTACTTATACACAAAAAGACATATTTTGATAAAATGGCTTAATCGATTTTCACAAAACAAATTAAAAAATACTGAAGATATTTTATTATTATAGTGTCGTTGTAAAGTGAAAACATTAGGCTTTCAAAAAGTTTTTGTTTTGTGATAATTGGTTTGGCACTTTTAATAAATATATGCCTTTGTGGGTAAGTTGATTTAGATACACGCAAGTGTAGTTTATCTGTTAATAATTACATCTTGAGTTACAGGTCATATTTTGTATGAATGCTCAATGCGACAAAAAAATTAATCAAAATTATGTTATATTATTTATTTATATAAATATTTTTTTTTTTTTTTTAGTGAAACAACAAACAACACAAAAAAAAATGCCCCTATTCGCCGTGTCATGTATGGTCCGCTCAATTCTGCTGCATACTTTGCAGCTTAAGTGTTTTATTATTATTACTATCTTTTTATATGTATTTTTAATATTGTGTTAAATTATTTCATACGTAATATGTATACTCTTTTTTTTTTTTTTTACAATTATTATAACCAATCCATTTTTATATTTTACTTTCAATACTGTGATTATAAATATAATATATTTTTACTATCGATTTATAATAAATATATATTTCTTCTATTTCTCGTGAAGTATTATGGTTTTAAGGCATAATTGGAAATTGTTTAAAATAATAATACCTAATAAGAAGTTGGCAGGTCCATTACCTGTCAATAAAATCGAATGGCCATTTATTACCAATATTATATAACTAGGAATTATTAATCATACAGTAATAGATCGATAATTTACAAAACCAAACACTTATAAAAACAGAACATAATATATATATATAGGGTCATTAACTTATAAACAAGCAATTTTCTTGAAGGATTTTAATTGAATTAGATTTAGTTTTATTTATTTATTTTAATTATTGTGGAAATGTTTTATTTTGAAATTATTTTTAATTTTTCACCTCTACTACACACGTCTTAAATGAGAATATACTTTTGATTTTTAATCAGAAACTTCTCTTTTTGAACACAAATTCGAATAGAGAATGTTATGTACAAATGTTGATATGCGTAACAGTAATTCTGTATTTATTGTTTATAAATTGCATATTTATTTCCAGATGATTAATTGAAAAATGGAAACCTGTAGTGATTGGTCAATTATAACCCACGCAAATTTAACTTGAACAATAATTATCATAGATAGTATCATTGATTACCTATTGATTTATAATCAATGGCAGTAGGTACTAATCACGATGCAGATAAAATGTCATCAACATTATGGTACTAAGTCATTACTCATTAGGATATTATTACATTAGAGCTACAACATGAGTTACGACTGTGAAAAATTAATAAAACTGTATAAATTATAGAAACTAAGGAAATTGTTCAAAAATAAATGTTGGAGGATAGAAAATAAGTAAATGTATATTATGTAATTATACAAATACCTGCATTAGTATTTCGTAAGTATTATATTCTGAGTGTAGCGAGGAATTTATTGGTTCTACTATGATATTTGATGTGTGAGTATTATAAATAAAGACATTTCCTTGTGATTTTGAATACGTGTTCATCGTCCACATAATATTATACATCTAATATAATAATTTATTCTCCCAAGAACCCAAAAACTAAAATTCATAAATGTAAATAATTCGTGACCACCAGTTTTCAGTGGTACCTACCAATCTGTTCAGTGTTTAGTCTAGCAATGCATACTTTAACTCTCCTCAGTGTCATTGAAAACTAATTCGATTTAATCTAAGTTTTGTATAGAAAAATAAAATGTGTAAATACCATAAATTATACAGTGGATTCTGCTTAATGTGGGCATGTTGGGACCAGCTGTTTGCCTATAAAAACCGAAAATAATTAAAAAAAACCCAAAAATTTTTAGTATCAAAAGTTTTTATACGTGAACCATACAATTGTAAAAAAAATTTTAAATTACCGCATAAATAAAACTAAATATAACATACCAAAAAAAAATTACTATTTAAATGTGAAATGTGTACAAAACGTTATAATTGCTTGTTGTCTAAAAATATGCACACTTCTAGAAGCTTATATCAGACGGGCAAATTTTTTTCGTTACCCTCTTGCATAAAGTCATATGCAAGTCTATATATTTAGTCGAAAAATTCCCATTAAGGTTTAAATGGTTATGCTTTTTATTATAATAATTTTCAATAAATACAATCTCATAGATATGACGAAACCCAATTATATTAGTCGTTTTTAAATATATATGTGTATATTCTAACGCTATGGTAAAATACAAATCGCCACATAAACCATATTATGCATTTTTTTTTTAACCTTGTTAATATATATTTGTATTGAGACCATACCATTTTAACCATATTACACACATGCCCACGTTAACCAATGCTCACATTCGGCGGAATCCACTGTATTTCGTAGCATGATACACGATGGTAATTAATTTGATATCAATCTATTAATCTAATATTTGACAAAAGTGTCAAAATAATTTAGAAATATTCCTGACATATTTAAAGTTTGACGTACTCCAAATATTTGATTGTATGAGCCGGACTTAATGATTGAAAAAATAAACAAATAAATTAAATTCACTTACAATCTTCTGAGAAAATTAGTGGTTAATAATAAATTGATCACTTTGTATATTGGTAATAAATAATATTTATTTGAATATTAACAATTTAATTTAAAAAATTTAGAAACAATAAAATAATTAAAATAAATATACTCTTAATAATATAGGTGGCAATTTGAGATTTGTACGTTTGTTATTATTATTAAATATTCTTTGGGCAATTAAAAATTAAATACAAGAAAAGTAAATATTACGATATTATCGACATAAATTATTTTAATACAATTTAAAAAGGTAATGAGAAAATAAATTATGTTTTCAAAAATGTATAAAAAATATTTTTTTGGTACTGCATATCAAATTTGTTATTTTCCCCCACTCATAATTAGTAATAAACAATATATAAATAATAAATTTCATGAAAATACACACTATATATTTTCGCTAGAAAAAATATTTTAACATTATAAATATATAAGGCATTGTTTGTATCTTGGAGAATTAGATAATTTCCACTTTTTTTTATAAAATAAGTCTATAGAAATAAACGCTGTAGACTATCATTATGAATATATCTGCTGACAAGTTTTTACTTGTAACCATGAACTGTCTGTAAGTCTAAATTTCTCATGCACAATTTTTCAAATTTATGGTAGTAATATTATGTTTGGGAATCAGACTTTTTTATTTTTTAATCCTTTGATTATATCTTGCAGAGAAGACACTTTTTTCTGTAACCGCTGATTTCTTTGATTCAAAATTTTATTTTTATGACGAAGTTTTTTCACAGTGTTTAGTACTAAACAAAAGTTTCTTCTCCTTTTACTGGGAGTAGAAAAATCTTCTTCTCTCAAATCCCCGATACGGCTAGAACTCCAAATTCTTCTTTTTTTTTCTGGCGGAGGTTCTCTGGGTAAAACTTCTACATTTGTACACAGAATAAATGGAAATGGATGAGAAATTTCAATAATGTTTTCCTTTTCACAACTGAAATTAAATGTTCATATTGTAATTTAAATATATTAAACATAAACACTCGATACGAACTTGTTGGTCTTTGAAACAGACGGTGAAGGTACACTTTCATTTGCTTCAGAAGTCATTGCAATATTTGAAGATCTAAAAAATTAAATAATTTTAACAAAATCTGTTGTACGTTGATTTTTCAAATAATTACCAACCTTACATGTGTTGGACTTTTTAATTCATTTCGAGCATAATTATGTTCCTCAACAGGTTTATAATCACTGAAATGTAAACAATTTATTATTACATATTCGATTTAATAAGTTTATCGTTCTGACCCGATTGGTACGGCAGTTGATTGAAGAATGTTACGATTATAACTAAATCTAAAATCACTGTCATTGAAATGTTTACTACAAACTTTTTGCCAACTAGAAACTGATGTCAAATTGAGCGCTTTAAGCCACATAGTTCTTTTAGTTTTATCTTTTGGAAAGCTGAAAAAATAATTCATACCAATAATCGTTAACCGCACAATACGTGTAAATTAATTAAAGTTGTATACTAACTGATGGTAAGAAACGTCCTTATTACTATTGCTGTTGTTGTAGCACACAACACATCTTTGAACCATTGTATGCTATATACAATGTAATTACTATAGTTAATTATGTAATAATCATGGGTTTGACGTTTGAAGTGTATTAATATTACAATTATTTAAATGTATAGGCTACGAGGTTTCGTGTAGTTTATAATACTTATCATAATGTCTATAAGTATTTTTTTTTTTTCTCATAGTTTCATATGTGTACGTGCTGTATTAAAAAGTTTCGACTCGGATTTAAATATTATTTCGATTTTAACGATAAAAACATTCGTCACCGGGTAATATAACGTGTGCATTTATCTATAAAAATAAATAAAATAAATAAATAAATATTATAAAGTCGCAATAACAACCATAGGTATAGAATCTACAATTTGTCTCTATTATCTATACCCATTGCCCGCGACCACGGACCGAGATATATGAAAACGTTATGAATTCACGACGATTGATCACTCTGAAAGTGATAATCGCATAAAGAGGTACAGTCATGAAAAAGAAATCGACAATTCGTTTCTTCCATTATTCGAACTTTTATATTTCAACGAGAATATACCTACCATTATGTATTATCTATTTATCTACAATCTACATAGCGCATGCATATTATTTGTATACGTTATCATCGAGCAATTACTACACACATTACCCAATGTACGTTATAACATAATATTAAATATTATTACACGTCCGTGTTGCTTTTAAATCTCATTCGCCCGTATTTATCGCAGACATACACAAATTGTTTCCTATATCTGTGGTATTTATCGCAACATAATAGGCGTGTTCGCGGTTAAAGTTTTAACCGTGGGTATGTTATCAATTATCTATTTTATTTACGCGGATCAGAAAGGTTAGGTTAGGTTCTCTCCGGTATTATCGTTCTCTCTCTCACACGATATTATCAGTGAAAACCATCGGCCGGCGATGAGGAAAGTGCAGTGTTAATATTAGAAGTCTGTAGAAGAAGTTTCCCTTCTGTTTATTCCGTGATACTACAACCGCCTTATCTAATGCCGTGATAACGTACGTTATTTTAATTCTAATTCGTCGTGATTGAAGTACCATAATGTTTACCATTGTGCTTATCTATGAAGATAATGCCTATCGTTGGCTACGATTAATCTGAAGAACAATAGTTCGCTTATTGTAGTCAATTCGTTTGCTAGAACATTAGGAGCCTACTAAAAGCTCAGTAAAAACAAAATCAAAACCGTATTTCGTGCGAAAACTCGAGTCATGGACAACCCTCACGTCACCTACTTGACGAATTTGTTGGCGAGAGAACCGGAAAATGCGGACAAGAGTAAAAAAAATATATTGGTCGTCATTGATCGATATGAAAAAAATGGGCCAATATGGAAATCGTTGGGCGGAGAATATTTGGATGAGGTCGTTGGGCTTTACGCTGACAGGGGCCACATCGAATTTAGCCAAGTCCCGAGCCCAGACAAAAGTGTGTATCACGGGAGTGTGAGTTTTCCAAGCTAATCGATCATATTTTTAAAATATAAACTTTTACAGAAACTGAAAAGCTGTACAATGCTATATTGTCTGGCGTTATAGGCAGTGAAGTCTCTTGTGAATTGGACCTACTTTCTACGTACACTCAACTGCTCATACCTGGTGGGCGGTTAATCGTGAAAACTACAGCTGATAACGAAGGACAATGGATTAAAAGACTGAAAATGTGTGGTTTTCAAATCGACACACCCGCAATGGAGGGAATCATAATCGGATCCACTCCTTCGTATAAAGTACGACACTAATATTTTATCGTATTCATATTAGTTATCAACTCTAATCTGCATCTGTGTTTTATGTGACTTAACTGGTTGTTATTATGTGATCTACTGGATTTGTTGCGTTATTTCAAACTTCCAACAAATCCATTGATCCAAATACAGACGCTGTACACAGTAATTGAATGTGTATCGTATTTCTTAAAATCAATTCTTACACAAAAATACAGTCATAAACGACATTTGACAAGTGTTAATTAAAGTATTAAAAAACTCCATTTTTTACTTCTTTCATTATCTTTTAAATATTTTTGACCTAGGTTCTATACAAATTATCTAAAAACCAAAAAATTACCACAGCTGTTTTAAATAAATAAATTTCAATAATTAAAAGAGAAAAACGATGAAGCTCAAATAGCTACAAAATATAATCTTTAAGCAATAATAAAAGTAGATAACATAATTTTAATTTTCTGACAATATATTTTATTTTATTATTACAAACGGACAAGTCCAATTAAAAGTACAGTAAATTAGTCAAAAGTTAAGTAATTAAGATATCCACCCAAAAGTGTGATTGGTATTAGCAGAACAAGGGGACAGACCATGTAGACATTTAGAAGGAAATTAGAAGATAATGAGAGATGTGAAAGAAAACATAAGAGCAAATGTAATGTAGGGCTACACAAAAATTAATCTCAGACAAGGAATATTAAGCTTGTAGGTGACCATTCTGAGGAACTTTTGCAGGAGCCAAACCGTTCAATCATATCGCTGGTGGCAGAGGAATTAGGTATTAAGGACAGACTTGTATTTCAGGTTGGGACGGGTGAGTGAGCAGTAGAATGATTTGAAAGGAGTAATTAGGTGGAAATTACCAGACATGCAGCTAATGAAGCGGAGGTGATAATAACAAATAAATGCTTTTAAAACAAATTAAATTAAAACTAAATTTGGGTGTTATGATTAATTAACACCCCTATAAAATCCTGTAACTTCAGTATCAATCAGTAAGGTAAGTCATATACAATATGAATAGCTTGTACATTCGGTGTATTATGTATGGTAGTATACAAGGTGATCCATTTATCTAATTGTTCATTATCTTGAAAAGTATTAACTTTTTTCGGAATTTGTCTTATAGAACACTAATACTACAAATTTACATTTATTTTATTTTTGGTATAAAACGTCCACCTACTTTTGATTTTCAAATGAAACCCTATATTAAAAATCCCATTAATAGATAGAGAATAGTAATTTCAACACCAAGATTTATTTTTTCCTACATAAATGGATAACCTCGTATAAATGAATTTGGGTAAATTCTTGTTCCATTAGGTTGGCTCAAGTGATAAGGTTACGTTTAACGAGTCTAATGTCCTTGCGGCGTGGAATTTGCAAGACCAAAATGCAGAAACAATAGCTGAAGATGACTTATTAGAAGCGGATGATTTAAAAAAACCTATTTCATCATCACTTAGAGGTAAGATTCTTTATACGTGGGTCATCGCGAGTATAATTTAAGTATTATTATTAATCTAACTCAAATTTGTCGTATCAAGTGTGTGCCACTACCAAGAAGGCCAAAGCTTGCAAAGACTGTAGTTGTGGATTGGCTGAAGAACTTGATGCAATGCGTTCCAAAAGTGAAACGTCTGAAACGTCAAAACCTTTGCCAGACACGTCTAATGCCAAGTCTTCTTGCGGTAGTGTAAGTGGATATAAACTATTTTTCTCATTTATAGTACATTTATACAAAAAAAAAACTAAGCATTATTTTATGTGATACATTTTTAGTGTTATCTTGGTGATGCATTCCGTTGCGCCAGTTGTCCGTACTTGGGCATGCCTGCTTTCAAACCTGGTGAAAAAGTCCAGCTCGCCGGGAATTTGTTACAAGACGATTTTTAAGTAGTACTGTTTTTCATCAACACAAATATAATAGTTTTTTTATCTACGCGATATTTATATATATTAAAATAACGGATTTTAATATTACTATACCAAATAATAATAAACAATAACAATGTAAATGAAATGAATAAATGAGACATTAGGATTTTTTATTCAAATTGTATTTTTTTCCCCTTAAACCAAAACATATTAAGGGCATTACACAAAGATTACAAATGAAAAAAAAAAAATAATAAAAGATTAACATTGAGAATTTTATAAACTAATTTATAATTTACATAACTCAGTAGTTTTTTAATCCACTAAGCTATTGGCAGTCCGTCATTTTTTTTTTTGTTTTTTTATATAATATAAAATAAGTAACATAAACACTGAAGCCGTGCGTACAAGATATATAATATATACATATTATTTATAAGTTTTTAGGTTTAAAAATTGTTTTAAATATTATTCAGTTCAGTGATTTTATTATGTTTAATTATTTTTGTTTCAATTATTATTGTAATGATTATAAAAAGCGTTACAAATTCTGCAATTATAAATTATTATGTAGATATTTTATAAAAAAAATTAAATGAATAAATAATAATAATAATAAAAAAAAAACCAAAAAAAAATCATTATCCCTTACATCTATAAGTAAACAAACTCAAATTTGATCTTAAAAAATTATATGAATCCACTGACTTAGTCTAAACTATTAGCAAATCAATATTTTATTATCTAAATGTTAAAGGGACACATGTGTTGTTACAATAAATATGTTATTTATTGTGAATCAAGAATTTGGATGGATGGCTGATTTTCAGGCGTTTGCTATTTGTTTGTTGAGAGCGAAACTCTCCAGGTAAGTGTGTTGAGTGGGTTTATGTAGACGTAGCATGTTCAGGGCATCTTCCAGTTTAAACCATTTACGCTTGCGGCCTAAAAACACAAGTAAATTGTTATTTAGACTAAAATGGTTTACAAAAACTATTGAAAATTTGTCTGTATATAAAAATATATTTCAATCCATTTGCTAACCAAACTGTATTTAAAAGATTTATTTTAAAAATAAAACACCTTGAGCGTCATTGCATACAATTAAAATTAAAATAATAATAATCCTATTAGTATTATAAAAACGTGACACACATAAATAAATAATATTATCTGAAATAATTTTATACTACATAATTTTCACAACTGATAGTATTTTTTGTACTAATTTAATTTGTTATTTTAAATACCTAGTTGGTTTGGTTTATTTTCATGAAAATAATACCAATCTTCACAATAAGCTCAACAAAATTATTGAACCATCAATTACTAGAGTATGGAATTTCAGAACTTTGTAAACAAGTCTATTATTATAAGACCATAATAAAAAAAAAAAAATATAAATATAATATCAATGCGTATGCTTTTTCAGATTATCTGACTTGAGTATCATTAACTAAATTCCAAGGTTATTTCTCAATGAAGGTAAAATTATGATATAATACATTCCGATTGCTCATTCGTATTACTGAACATAAACATTGTACATATATTATAATTATAAACATGTAGTAAAAAAACCCGTCTATAATATTATCTTAAATGAGAAAAAACTTAAATAAACTTTCTTATTTTTTTCAAATTATACTCATTGTATTAACAAACTTTCATAAATTAATTTTAAATATTGAAACAGTTTAATTTTAGTTCTGAAAATTATATTTTAAAGACAATCTGGTTAAAAAATAAGTTTTTAACAAAAATATTTTCACAAGATTTCAATATACAAAAAAAATATATTAATTACATGTATATTTAAAAAAAAAAAAATGCATTAAAGTGCAATTTATTTATATAAATCTGCAGGTTGTTTAAATTCATCTCTCATAATTGATTTCCTTAATATGATACGATAAAAACAAAAAAACAAGAGTTGCTTTTATCTATGATAAAATTATAAATTACAGTGAATGACTATAATACTATAATCGCTTGTTTAGTTTGTTTTTAAATTTATCTAAATTTACCTAATTTATTAGGTAACTAACAGCAATGAAATCACTGATACAAAAAAAAAAAATATATATAATGCAATCAACAAGTAAAACTATCATATTATTTATGTTGACAGTTTATTACTATTATTTTTATCATTGTATTTGTTTAATTTTTATGAGCTTATTATCTATGTATTATGTTTGCTCACGTTTCATAATTGGACTATAACACTTTGTATTTTATGGATATACTTCAAGCTATCGTAGACAAAATATGTTAGCTAATTACCATTTGATTTTATTGTTCATTGAATTAAAAAACATATCAATATATATTACACATAGTTAAATTTTTTTTATCAGACCACTAATGGTTTTAAAATGGATACCTATAAATATATATATTATAAATGTTACCCAATAGCAATTAATCAAATTTGTACAATAAGAAATAATAATACAGTAAACTATCATTAATTTAAACTAAATACTTGGTTCCCAGGAGATTAGAGATATTTCACAATATTCAACCATTTTTAACCGAAATCCCTACACAATTTGAAACTCAATTTCATGCTAACACTTATTGAAATTGTATAATGTAAATAACATGTTTGTAATGTTACAACAGAAATATAAATTAATTTTGTTAAGATTTTAGCCTGTTACTTTTTCAATAGACTAACCTCATCATTCACAACTTCTGGAATATGCAATGTCTACAGTTTAATATTCTGTTTGAAAATGTTCTAATGGTCTCATTAAGCACCAATAGTTTTTTTTAAGTTAAAACTAGTTTACAATTCTATAATGAAAAAATGTGTAACTCTATTTAATTTGAACTTTTTCTCTTAAACCCTTGATAATAATTAAAAATTTTAACTCTCCCAGATTAGTAAACATTGATAATTTGAATTCATTTCTTGGTTCTCTGATTTTAAATTATCAAACATAATATTATATAATACTGTATTACTAAATATGTAGTTTGTTTGGGAACAAAATCACAACAATTAATAGAATTTGTAACAAAATTGGACTTTATAATATTGCATAGGCTTAAAATATTTTTTAGAAATATTACCAATGCCCAAAGAGTCTTCCCATTCTGGTAATTCTTCTGTGACAATCATAACAAAGACATCTGTTCTATGCCGTCTGATATGAGTCTAAAAACAAATCATAATTTAATACAAACACATATAACTATGAGAACATAATATTTAAAAAATATAATACTGACCCTATCTTCGAATGTGCCAAGTCTTCTGTGCAATCTGCCCACAACACCGGCTTCTTCGACTACTTCTCTGACAGCAGTCGCACTTGGTTCTTCTTCTGGTTCGATTCCACCGCCAGGTACAATCCATTGCTGGGGTTTACTAGATGAAGTCACCAACAGCACCTTCAAAAAGTATCATATACCTATATAATGTGCACAATAGTCTGCTGTAATTATTCATATTTTAAACATTTGTAGAAAACATTAAGAATATATAATACAACTATTTATTAAAATATTACTTAAGTTTACCTTGAGCCAGTTATTTTTATCATATATCATATTTGAATATTCAATACAGTAGAAATGGTGAATTTCATACATAACCTAACAACTAATATACAATATAAATTTACACGGATTATTTGATTTTTAGTTTTTTTGACACATTGTCCATGACCTATAAAATAACTACCCAATTGGCATAATAACAATGTGTGCAATCAATGACTATAGCCCAAAAAACCGCTAATTTATATTTTATAGGTACAGCGTACACGTAGCATTTGAAATGTTATATATATTTGCTAACTTTAACAGTTTATACAAAACACATTTTTTTTTTTTTTTTTAATAATAAAACGTGTCATGTAATTATTACATTTATCATTAATAACAAATTTAATAAAGTATAACAAGTTTAATGCTTTGACTACCCAAAACCACAACTCATTTTTGTAAATGTTAATATATATAAACATAATAATATTCATCTACTAGTAAGAAATTCCGTGTTTGATTGCCTATATATAAGTACCCCACTTTTGAGTGGAATTATAATAATAATTTAAAATATAAATTAGGTTAAATACACGTACTTTGAAACATGAATAATTATTTTAAATTTTTATTATCTACTAAATAATAATAAAAAAAAAAAATTATAAAATAAAAATATGCACGATTCAGATATATTTGACTGGCATATTTTATTTCGATGATCTAATTTAATTTAATGCTAATCTATTGGTTTCATGTTCTACAGTATCAAATAACAATGAATATTTGCATGACTAATGGTTTTGGGAGTAAAAGAAAAATCAGTGCTTAACATTTGAATTTAAAAATAATTGTTTTTAAAAATGCATATAAGTTAATAATGTAGGTAACTCTAAATCTAACATGTATAATTGTATAACCTTGGAACATGTCCAAAATGAACAGAATCGATCACTCAAGTTTCGATAGAATACTTAAAATTAAATATTGAAAAAACGCATAAGGTGTCCGATAATTTAAATTTAAAAGTACCATCTATTCGTATGTTTTGCCAGGAATTAATCAAATCACACAAAGATGTTAAAATTTAATACAGTTCAAATATGTACTATCTAAAAATTTAAAAAAAAAAACAATTTTTTATCATTATAACATTTTTTAACAAAAAATCAGTACCTAATTAGTAGTTTGAATTTGAAACTAAGCAAAAGAAATAACAATAAAAAAATTTAATCAAATTAATTCATTGGTGTATTATAGAATAAACAGATAAATAGGTTAAATTCTGAAGATAAAAGTGATTAAAGGTTATTTAATATCAATAATACATTAATCAGAATATTAATATAAAAATTAATATACTTTTTTATAGCCATTTTTCTTAGATGGTTAAGTTGAGTATTTGTCATATGTAATTAATTATTATCACCTTGAACAATGTTTCAAATATAGGTACTTGAATAACCTTATACATTGTTATATTTTGGCATTATATCATAGAACATGAATAAATATTAAGAAGTAACCCAAAAATTCGTTCTGTATATCATTATATTAATAATTTACCTCATTACCTCTACCTACCTACTTAATCTTATACTTGGCTTCTGAGCTCTTACTTTGACCCAAATTAAAACTTGGATTATGAGATTGGTACAAACATAAAAATCAAGGGCCTAAGAACCTCACATTGAGTATCACAAGAATTTAATAAAGGGCTAATAAATCAACAAACGATTAATTTGTTATTAGTATTTATAAATTCTGAACAAATTGGGTTTTATTTTATAAATATATAGTTATTTATTAGCTTCTTTTATAAACTATGGCAGCTAAGTAATTGATTATACTACAAAAAAACCGAAAAAAGTATGGAAATTTTAATCAGTAATAGTAATGATTTCTGTTATTTTCTAGTTGCAATAAACTATTCAAATCAATCTACTGATTTTTGAGATATTTATAGCCATTTGAAGTTTGTATGGATAAAACTGTGGTGACAGAGCAGAAATTGCCAAAAGTTTAATACGAGGTTTATCATAAGATGCATTTAGTTGAAAAAAATTGAGGCAAATGTTAACAAAAAAAGCAGACCAAACTTTGTTTAGAATACTATTTTGTTACAGAATACATATTATAAGAATTAATTACAAGGCACTCTAATCTAATCTTCCCAAATTCCCACCCCCATGAAAAAATAACTACAACCTACAAATGAGTAGCCAGGGCGCTCCCACTCGGGGCAAAACAGAAAAAGGTTTTATTCTAGAAATATTTTATATTGTTATGGTAAAATGGTATACAATTATGCGTGATGAAAGGACATACAGTTAAAAATCTAGGGGTTTTTGATGAGTAGTATTTTTTTTAAATTTCTTTAAATATAATTCTTGACTAAATAGATTTTATTCAGGTAAGTATTATAGTTTAATTTTATATTGTAAAAATACCCAAAAAATGTCTAGTAATAAGGTAGGTAATAAAGGGTTAATAAATATAAAGTTTTAACAGTTTAAAATTCAGATTAGAGTAGTAGGGAAGGGTAATAAATTTCATATTTTTTAGATAATTAATTCATAAACGTTCTTTACTCTTCCTGTCTGAACTTTAAACTTTTATAACTCATTAATGCTAAATTTAATGAAGATAAGTGTTATTAGAAAAATATGCTCTATTTGAACTTGTGTTCGAAAGAGAAAGGCTATTGCTATTTGAAAATTCAAAATATACAATCATTTCAGGTACAATGAGTAAGGGTAAAAATTTAAAATCTTGTTAAAATAAAGCTTAAACGGCTCTACAATTATTTTAAAAATATAAATCAAAGTTACTTAAAGAAAATTGTTGATTTATAAGAATTTGATAATTTTGTTATATAATATATATATATACACAACAAACACGATACAGTGTAATAGTCTTCATTTTAGGAGAAAATTTGACAAAAAAAAAAACTAAATAAATAATCACGTAAAACTATTACATTCCTCGTACACCCTTGTTACATCTAACAAGAATACTATATAAATAGATATATATTTACCTATGTTTAAATAGATAATTTATCACCCACTTATTTTAATTTAAATGGAAATTAGTATTATGTTGCAGACAAATTATAATGGTTCAATTATTAAGACTCAATTAATCTCTGATAGATTATAATACGAATGTAAGAATATAACGGAAGGTAATAAGTATTATGTCATTGAAAAAAAATGAAATACAAATAAACAGATTAAGTATCTATACATTACACAATATTCACTTAAGATTTTTAATTCATACACATAATTTAATATACCAAATGTCCGTACATATAATATAGTAGTGAATTTATACATGGAAGTAAGGAACTTTTCAGTCTTCATGATTATTTATTTTTAATTTGTTTACAGCTAAACTAACCCAACCTGTGCACTTTCCAACTTTATTCGTATACCGGGTTGATAGCTAAGAGGCTCAGGTTTAATTTAGTTGAATAAAATAAAGATATTCATAAATTTACAATCGTCGACAACTTACCATCAGGATAACATAATGCCAGCTGTTGATAACTATAAATTATTTGATTAATATTCATTATGTTATACCCATACATATGTTCTATAGTTAAACATCTATACAATTTTAATATTACAAAAACACAACAAAATAAATTGAATTAATTAATTAAACGGTGATAAAATTCATATTTCATACAAAAATGTACAGTGCGAACTGGAATTAAAGTGTGTTAGATTATTGTAAATAAAATTAGATGAATACATGTCGAGTCCATTGTAATACTTTATCTAGCGATTGTAAAAAAAAAAAAAAAAAAAATTATTGTTCATGAAAATGAGGGGAAATGTTCATGTTAAACAGTAATTATGGCGTAAAAGTATTTTTATGGATGATAAAATAAGTAGATAATGCAGTACCTAAGGTTAGACACAACGAATTCAAACACCTTGCAAATGTTATTTTTAGTTTATACCGGTTTGTAACCAGCTCGAAGAAGCTAAAATTAACATAGGTAATAACTAATCAAAATTGATTAATTGTGTTACCTAGCTACATAGATTAGACAAGTACGTAGGTATTCAAATTAAAATCTTATCTGAATAATTAGGTAACGAGAATACGTACTTACAAAAGAGAAATTTGAAAAAATTGAATAATACATTATAACAATACATTTGTGCCTCAATTTATTAAATGTATTCACCTGCCAAAAACCAAATAGCTACCTAGGGTAATACTTAAAATATGTACATATTGTGTACGGTGGAACGCACGGGGGGAAAGTTAGTGGTCAATTCCCCCCCTCCCCCATCCCATTGGCTTGAACGTACCAATACTTACGAGTACCAATTTAATAGTTTCAACCTAAGCACATGTTTTGATTAAAGGTAAACGCGACAAAGGAAAAGGCCCGGTTTATTGTAAACCGATTGGGTTTCCGTGGATTCGGATTTTAACTATCGTTTTCGGTTCGGGTACGCGAAACGAAATAACTGTCCGATTTGAATTATTCGCGGGCCGTGTTTACTACGTCCCTTCCCATCGGAACAATTTTCGGGGGGGGGGGGCGCGTCACTGTCGCGTGTATTATCAGAGCTAATTAGATATAAAAAAAAAAAAAAAAAAAAAAAAAAAAAAATGATTGAATTGTACAAACGGCACGGACCGATTGGATTTTTATCGACACGAGACCGCAACCGACACCCACGGTTAGTAAACCGTACACGACATTATCATTAGACATAAAGTAGGTACTTGTGTTCCGTGATGTAACACTATGGACGCGACAGGCAAGTGCAATGCAACGCGAGGTGAACGCAGCAACACATTACACGGTTAGGCGCCCGGACGGAGCACCCGAAGCACCCACCGCGGTGGTAATCAATCAGCCCCCGTTATTTTATAATTACCTCGTCGGAATCTTTGCGCACGCATATGCACGCGGCCCGTCTGCGGAACCCGTCCTCGTCGTAGATGCGAGTGGAATTCGGTTTATCTTTCATGTTTGCTGCCGCCGTGTGCGGACGTCCGATTTACTTTGGTCCGCCGGTACGGGCGGAAAACGGAAACCTCTTAAAATTCTAACGAATCCTAATGGATACGGGTGAACAACTTCAGGTGACGCTACGGGTATCGACGACAGTTGACATTTTTTCTTCGTCTTTTTTTTAATTTATTTTTAATTTGCTTTTGCTTGACGAGACCGGCGAGATTTTCGAGAACACCGACGAGTGTTGTTTGAAATATTTACCTTTTCTTCGACGACACGAAAATCGAAGAATCAAACCACCGTCGTGTGTATGTGTGTGTGTGTATAAGTATTATGAGTACGACAATAAACAATAGAATAGAAATGTAACGACGACGACGTCTTTTGACGAATTATAAAACTAGACGTACGGCTCGCACGAGTATGTATATAAGTATAGGTATTTAATAAGTTTTACGTGGGTATAATATTAAGAAAAAAAAAAAATTGAATTACAAAAAAAAAAAAAAAAAAAGAAATCGTAAAAAAATAAAAAAAAAATGAGGAAAAAAATTGAGGGGAAAAAAACGAAAAAAAAAAAAATTAAGAATTAAACAATAAGAGATACATTAGACAAATGTCACTTAGAGACATTGTAATCGAAACACAGGACCGCCGTTTGACGATTGCATGATGTTGTTATAAATATTACGCTCGTTGTCCGTTCGGACGACCATAATCGTGACGTGACGTGACGCGACGACGACGGCGACGACCGGAATGGGTGTCAAAGTCCAGAAACCGAAACGCCGCGGTACGAGACGACGACGCGAAAAAAAAGAACCGGCCAATAAACGCGCGTGTGGCGGCCGTCGTCGTGTACACAGGCGCACGGCGCGCGCGCACGCACGGACGTGTCGGTTACGGTCGCTATTACCGTCACGACATGGCGGCCCACGCGCGTGTGCGTGTCCCCGCGCGTGTGTGTCCGTGTGTGATTGTGCTGCGTCTGCGCCGCGCGCTTGCGCTTTCGCGCGTGTGTGCATGTGTGTTGGCGGGGCTCCTCGTCCGTCCGACGGCAGCGTAACCACCACCACCGCCGCCGCCGCCGCCGCGTTGCAGCCGTCCGGCCGTCGGCGCGCGCGTGCGTGCGCCGACCGCGTTGCAAGGGAGCGTTCGCGCCGGTAGAGCCGCAGCGAAAAATGACGAACACAAAATTAGACGAAAAACTTCACACCGCGGGTGGGCCGCCACCGTTGTAGCCCGTGGGCGGGAAGGTGTACGCGCAGAGTGATTTAATTCATGTCGTCAGCACGCGCTTATGAACGCATAACAATGTTGTTTTGACAAATTTAAATTGAAAACTATCGCGTTAATTTCATATTTGTATGACATTTTTCGGTTATTATGTACAATTATGACTAATTTTAATTTGTCACTCGGTGGCAAAATTGTTGCCCTATTCAATTATTTACAGATAGGCGTATACTAATCAGCGGATGTATTGCTAAAATAAACCGTGGGTTGTTACGCCTTATTCACGTGCATAGAGATATTGTTGTATGGAGATCTAAAGGTAGGGTCAGAAAAAATTGTTCTCGCTTCGCTCGGACAATGTCTCTTTTAGATTCCGAGTGAAGCGAACGAGCTTACGGTTTTACAAAGATATTTATTTATTATTATTATTATTTTTTTTTTTTTTATTTAACTATGCGCAACTTTTCTAACCAGGAATCTTGCCCCGATTTATAATAATAGCGTTTGTTCTGAAAGGAAATCGGACGGGGAGGGGTGGTTACTCTAAGAAGGTAATTTTTCGATTTTCTCAGGAGTTTTTTCATTGAATGTGAAAAACCGATAAAAAAAATATCAGAAAAACGAGAAAATATACGAAATATATTAGTAAAATATTAAGTAAGTATAATTTTATCATCATTCATCACTCAACGAGTTATCACAATAAGAATACGAAATCATATTAAATATTATGATAAATGACAATACGATTCGGTCGACCACACGATTTAAAATAGTCTTAAATCTAGACTATCTTAAATAGTTGGGCGCACACGAACTGCCTTCTATTTAACCCTTGAATTGCCTCTCGTGATTTTTTTTTTAAAAAGGTTACTCGAATTGCCTCCTATTTTAGGTAGTAACCTTCTTGTATCGGAATCGATTTCTATTTTGATTTTTTTAAAACTAAAAACAATTATACAATATACACAGGTATTAGGTACACGACATTAGTACACGGTATTAGGTAATAAGTCGATGTCAGAAAAGCAAATAGGNTCATATTAAATATTATGATAAATGACAATACGATTCGGTCGACCACACGATTTAAGATAGTCTTAAATCTAGACTATCTTAAATCGTGGTCGAAATTCTCCTAGCAACGTACCCAGTGATTCATTTAAGTGGGTACACTCATTATCTCGGAAAGTATTAACTTTTTTCAGAGTTTGTATTCTAGAACATTTAACCTACTCCGTCTATTTTTTGTACTTTTTAGTATAGGTTGACGTTTGAAAACCAAAAGTAGGCAGTAGTTTTATCCACAAAAACAACATAAATTTAAAATTGTAAAGCAACTTGTTTTTTTAAATGTTCTAGAAAACAAAAGCTAATACTATATGAATGATGTGATCATGAATGCTTGATAACGAGACTGATTACAAAACCTTTACATTTTTAAATGATAATGATTTTTCGTAAAATCTACGTGTTACGTCCTGTATTAGTGATTCGTGTTCATCAAAATTGATTTTACAATAATTTCTATAAATATATAATAGGTATTTATAATTGTCATATGGGATACACGCGGTAGATACGGCCATATCGTTAATTTGTCGTGTAAATTTGTCATCATGAGCTATGCCTACGCCGCGGAACAAAAATAGCGTATAAGAGTGTACGCCGCGTAGCCATCAATACACCATTGATAATAACGATATGGAAATGTATTGATATCACGATTATTAAGATGGACCGTCTTAAACATCGACGCATAGGACGGCCAGATAGTTCGATACCATTATCAACACCACAAGTATTTATTTTTAAACCACGGACTATTTAAGAATTTGCGTGTTATGGCGTTGTTTGGTTGTAAATACAATATAGATTAGACCAGCGGTTCCCAAAGTGTAATCCGCGACGCCCTGGGGCACTTCGGTGTCTGTTACAGTGGTGTCGCGTCACCATTTTGAATATTTACCGGTCTAAAAATAAATTTAAAACCCAAATGACAGTAGAAACGGTGAAGCCGGCGTCTTTTTTTTGTTTTTGTATTTTTCTTCAAAAACCACTGTTTTCGGTTAGTGCATTCTAAATATGCATTCTAATTATTCGCACTGTACTCTGAAATATGTGGATACTTTTTAGTAGTACCATAATAGGCGCAACTAGGAGGTGCTAGGAGGTCTTTAGCAACCCCCCCCCAAAAAAAAAACTCAATCAGGTTTTTCATAGTAACGACTGAATATTTTATCCTTGAATTTCATAATTAATGAACGGACTAAATACATAGGTTTCACACAGACAATGCATGTGTGTATGAAAAATAATGTTAAAACAGTCACGATAAACTTGTATGTACAAAATGGTAAATGAAAGGTGTAGTTAACTATTAGAGTCATGTAAAGGGGATTGTGAGGGCATTTCCCCCATAGGTCTTTGTTGTTTTCATAATTTTAGCACATCCAGAGTTGGTGGTCTAGTTGGGCGCACACGAACTGCCTTTTATTTAACCCTTGAATTGCCTCTCGTGATTTTTTTTTTTAAAAAGGTTACTCGAATTGCCTCCTATTTTAGGTAGTAACCTTCTTGTATCGGAATCGATTTCTATTTTGATTTTTTTAAAACTAAAAACAATTATACAATATACACAGGTATTAGGTACACGACATTAGTACACGGTATTAGGTAATAAGTCGATGTCAGAAAAGCAAATAGGTATATGTACTTTATCAAAATTTCACGTATTAAAAATCAATAAAAAAATAATTTAGATGAAATAGCATTATGTTTTACAGTAGATACAAATACAACTACAATTAATAGTAAACAATCAATAAATAAATATCATTATGTTTTAAAGTCAAAAATTTAAATTAGTCATGTTGTATGTTTTCGAGGTTTAAATTTATTTACTAATACTTTTAAACATTGAAATTTTCAATATGATAATCGATAATACCTACACGTCAACTATTGATGTGTTAATTAATAATCTAGGTATGCTTTGGGAGGCAATTTGAGAGTACCTGACTAGTTGCACCTATGAGTAGTACTTCATTTTTAAAAACAAAATGATTCATATAAATTTTTTTGTAAAATTTAAAAAACAAAAACCTACAATAATTTTTGATATTTTGGTATACAATGGGATAAACACCGCGACCAATACCTCTCCGATTATAATATGTTTTTGATTGCAATGAATTATAAAGGTGCCCTGAGAAAACCTAAATCTAAAAAGAAAACCATTAGTCGAAAGAGTTCAGGAAACACTGGGCCAAACACGGTTGTCAATCGTTATTAATCATGGACTAGAGACTTAACAACAGAAACGGAAGTATTGTTGTATTGTCGCAGAGAAGTTGATGAAACCTACGTTTACAATATAGGCGTGTTTTGGCGAGTTAATTTTCAATAAACAGCTTGCTGCATTTGTTTACTGCCTACTTGGTTCGTTGACGAAAAATGAAAAATGTTTGTTAGAAATTGTTTACCACGCTACTGATCGAGTTGATGACGTCATGTTTTGAATTATCGACAAGACGAAGCGTAACACCAGTGAAGCATTAGCTTGATAAACAGTAAAGTTTGTCGAAAAGTGTAATTCATGTAGCAAACAGTTACACTAAACATTACCGTTGGAACGCACTGTTCACTCGATACGAGCAAACGGTTTACTGAAATTAACTTTCGGAAACAAGCCTAACATATCGCTGAAATTTCCTGAAGCCTGCGGAAATGATCTCGCCAATATTTTGTAATCCCCGGAAAAAAGAAAATATGCCGTTGAAACTGGCGTCCCTGAAAACAACAGACGAGGAGTTAACTGCGATAATTTGTAAAAATAATACTTGAATGTATTTTGTAATCACGAATGGACGGTGTAACCGAGTAGAGTGGAGTATGCACAATATATCGTACCCGGTACACCGGCCTTAGATATGTTTGTCGACCGTTTATAAAACGATGTCCGCAGACAATACGCGGAAATCGATGAAAAAACGAAAAAAAAAAAAAATAATAAAAAAATAGACCCTCTGAATAATTAATATTCCGTTACTCCGTCAACAGAATCCTATCACGCAACAAACACGCCCGATTATTCGTTGGCGAAACGCTGGATATGGTAAATCGAGCGCGCGGGCATTAGGTTACGGTTCCGGTGTGACCGACTCCCCGAGTAGCAGACGGCGCGCGTGTGCGTCTGATACATGTGCGAGCAGCGCACACACGTGTACGTTCACACACACACACACACACGTCTCGCGCGACGTGCAACGTGTTTTCGACGCGGTGCAGTGTGTGCGCGGGACGATCGAAACGGCGGCGGTCGGCCGTCGCCGCGCGCGCCCACCACCGTGTAGCCGTCTACCCCCTAGCCGCCCGAGTCCGGGCGCGCTGTTGCCGTTTGCCGCGCGTGAGGCGCCGGGCGGCGAGACGACGCATAAACCCCCCCAGCTACGGTGCGCATTGTAATACCTATAAAATTTTGTTTTTTTGTTTTTTTTTTTGTTCTTCTCTCTGCTGCGCGCAATTCCGACAGAATGCAAATACGCAATCCGGCGGCGTCTGTGACCTCATCGTCCGCCGCCGCCGCGACGGCGACGCCGCGTACGCGGGAAAACGTAATGGTTTTTTGACGAGCGCCTCACGCGCGCAAATATACACGTTGTATTTTACGTGACGACGGTCCGGTGGTTGGTACAACAAC